CCCCAAAACCCCAAAACCCCAAAACCCCAAAACCCCACTAAGTATTATTTTATAAAAATTGTAAAATAAGAAATTGACTTTAAGTTTAGTAGATTCATAAATATTAAATGATCATAGATGAAAACTTGTTAGATAAATTTTTCAATGAAAGATATGACTTCTCATTATAAATTCTTTTCTAAGATCTAGCATATAGATGTCATTGAATGGCATATGATGTCTATCTCCTCCGAAAACTAGACAATAGTCTCCATAGATAACACATGAATGCCCATCTCTAGGCGATGGTCTTTTTCCTTATACTTTACCATATGGTCCTTCTGCTGGTTAAGTTAGCAAAGATGAATTTAGTATTGAGGCAGCTGTATTTGCAGCATTTGTCCTCTTTTTTCTCATTGAGTTATAATAGTGCTCAAAGGAAGGATCAGCATTTTTAATGATAAAACTGTTTTTCATTGAGACTGAAGTTGGTGATTCAAGCTAAACTGTCGCTGATTCTTTATGTTTATCAGCATTATGCAAGCTAGGTCTATTTCTTTTTCTAGTAGCACTTGCACTGGTACCTGGTCTGGATCTGTTCATTGTTGATTGTCTTATCAAACTCTTCGATTAGTTTTCATTAGTCATCATATTAGAGCCATATGCATATGAGGATTTCCCCTTATTTATCGAGAATCTAGACTAATTCATTCGATTAGGAGATGATATTGAGTTATAGTTCCCTGCACTCACCCCTCCTGTTGTCATTGGCCTTTGTTATTCAAATTTGAAGCTTTCATTTTGTTTATATGGTTGGCTAAATTTACTTGAAGGTGATGCCTCTGGAGAATTTTAACTATTTTGCTATTTAAGTCGACTTGGCGAGTTAAGCTCATCAAAAAATGTAATCCATCTTTTGTTTCTAAAGTCGAATAGCAGCATATCATCAAGTTCTCGAGTCACTTCATATATTCCACCGAATATCAGCATCATATCTTTGTAAAGACAAGCGGAATGCCCACTTCTATGCAGTGGTTTTTATTCATTATCGCTGATTTCAATTTTCTCCCATTAATAAGTTGAAAAGTTAAACACCCATAAATCATTTAATTTATTGCCCTCGGAGTCTTTTCCTCCAAATACTACCATAGAATCTCCGAAAACTAATGCAGAGTGTCCAGCTCTCGAGCATGGAGAATCAAGACCCAAGGCACTAACTTTTTCCCATTTATTATCTTTAAAGTAATACCTGTAAACATCATTTGTCCTCTCCCCATCGGATGAAAATCCGCCAAATATAACCATTGAGCCCTCGTAAATGATGGCTGAATGATCATCTCTCGTTGTAGGAACATCACCTCTTCCGTGTATTACTTCCCATCTTAATGTCTTTAAATCCAGAGCAAAGAAACTGTGCTAGTTATCTCGCATGCTTTGATTACTCCCACCGAATGTGTACATTTTCTCACCAAATACAACTGTAGTATGATGTGACAATTGTCCTTTAAAATAATTATTATAATGAGATTTACCTGGTTTTTCTTTGCCTGTTGTTTCAAGTTTCTGCCATTAAATCTTTTTGTCATATGCTTCAGGGAATTCACTGCTGTTTTATTCAGCTAGTTTACTTATATCTATCATCCAAAGTGTATCAAGTGATCCTTCTTTTATATCATGCCCTCCAAATATAAACATCCTATTTTACAATTATAATGGCTCTTTTTAGCTTTATGCTTACTTTTTGCTGAATATAAAGCATGAATGATAAGCTCTTCTACGAGGCTATCTGCCATTAATTCTCAGTTCAAACCAATTCTAGCAGTCAGGGCTGATTGCTGAGTACTCTGACTTATTCATACGATTGACTGTGCTGTTATCACCTCCTCCATTAGTCATTGTATTGTTCATGTTGCTCTACTTATCATAGATCTTAGTCTCCTCTTTCGCAAGGAAGCTATTATTGTCGTATGAAACTCTCTCAACGAATTGACCTAAGTCTTTCTTAGGAAAATTTAAATTAGACGGTTTACCTGCGCTTCTCATTTTTATTTCGCTTAATTTATTATCTTACTAAAATTTATGCTGATAGTTTTATTATTCTTAGCTACTAAGTTTTATCATTCATAAGCAACAAGGGGTTTTGGGGTTTTGGGGTTTTGGGG